GGGGGGGGGGACCTACTGTCCTCCCCCCCGGCCCCCACCCCTGGGCTGTGGGTGGGGGCCCTAAGTAAATTTCCCCCCCCTCCCCCAAGGTGACTAGGGGTCCCCAAGCCCCTAGTCACCCACCCCCCCCAAATAAAAAGTCCCTACCTACCCCCCTCACCCTAAAAAATAGTGAGGGGGGAATAAAATAACTAACCTGTAAAATAAAAGTAAACTTACCATTAGACGTCTTTTTTCTCAAATCTTCATTTTTTCGGTGTCATTTTACACAGCGTGGGAAAGTTCAATTTTCCCCACGCTGTGTAAAATGACAAAGAGCACTCTGATTGGCTTAAACCCACCAATCAGAGTGTTCTTAGCCTAATTGCAGGGCGGGGCAAGGCTTTATAAGCCTTCCCCCGCCCTGCGGAGCTCAGTCTGTGCGGAGCCCTCCATGGGTGAAGATGGATTATTTTTTTGCGCTCGGGTTTTTTCTTTTTTAGTTCAACGGTTATGATGGTTTTTTATTTGCCCTTTTTGGGGCTGAAAAATGAAGATTTGAGAAAAAAGAAGAAGACGTCGAATGGTAAGTTTAATTTTATTTTACAGGTTAGTTATTTTATTCCCCCCTCACTATTTTTTAGGGTGAGGGGGGTAGGTAGGGACTTTTTATTTGGGGGGGGTGGGGGGGGGCTTGGGGTCCCCTAGTCACCTGGGGGGGGAATTTACCTAGGGCCCCCACCCGCAGCCAAGGGGTGGGGGCCGGGGGGGGGGGAGGACAGTAGGTCCCCCCCTCATTATCTTTATGGCCACCACCCGACGCCCAGGGGTGGGGGCCGGAGGGGGGGTGGACAGTAGGTCCCCCCCATTATCAATATGGCCCCCACCCGCCGCGCAGGGGTGGGGGCTGGGGGGGCAGTAGGTCCCCCCCTCATTATCAATATGGCCCCCACCCGCCGCGCAGTGGGGGCGGGGGTGGGGACAATAGGTCCCCTCCTTATTGTTCATTTTAGGGCCCCCACCCACTGCTCAGGGGTTTTTTTTGTGCTCGGAATTTTTTTTTTTTTTTTAGTTCGACGGTTATGATGTTTTTTTATTTGGCCTTTTTTGGGGCTGAAAAATGAAGATTTGAGAAATGGCCATGCCCCTACTCGCGGTATTGCGAGTAGGGGCACAATTTACTAATACTAAGTAATTTTTACTTAGTATTAGTAAATTAATAGGGGGCGGACCGAACATCGCATATGTTCGCCATCCATGGCGAACGCGAACACGCTATGTTCGCCAGGAACTATTCGCTGGCGAACCGTTAGGGACATCACTAGTGTTGGGGCAAGGGTCCATCTGACCACGGATACCTGGTCTGCAAAGCATGGTCAGGGCAGGTATATCTCCTACACTGTGCATTGGGTAAACCTGCTGACGGCTGCCAAGCATGGAATGCGTGGCTCTGCAGAGGAGTTGGTGACACCGCCACGACTTGCAGGCAGGCCTGCTGCCACCTCCTCTACTCCTCCTACTCCATCCTCTTACATAACCTCCTCGGCTGAGTCCTCTTCTGCGTCTTGCTCCACATCAACAGCACCCCCCCAGCTTCCCAGGTACTATTCCACATCCCGGATACGGCAGTGTCACGCCGTCTTGGGTTTGACTTGCTTGAAAGCAGAGAGTCACACCGGACCAGCACTCCTGTCCGCCCTGAATGCACAGGTGGAAAAGTGGCTGACTCCGCACCAACTGGAGATCGGCAAAGTGGTTTGTGACAACGTAAGAAATTTGTTGGCGGCATTGAATTTGGGCAAGTTGACACATGTGCCGTGCATGGCACATGTGTGTAATCTGATCGTACAATGCTTTCTGCATAAGTACCCAGGCTTACAGGACGTCCTGAAGCAGGCCAGGATCGGCTTGGGGATGTCCGGAGGAGTACTCACAGATCACTGTTCAACGTATGTTTGTCTGGATAACCCGTCAGCATTGCCATTTTGCTTCCCAGGGCGATAGTGACTTGTAAAGTCAAAAGGCTGTAGCACCAAACTCCAGCGCAACAGCCTGGCATTGTCTCCTGACACCCTGTTCAGCCACACCAACGGGTTGTGATCTGTGAGTAAGGTAAACGGTTGTCCATACAAGTAAGGTTGCAGCTTTTTGAGGGCCCACTCCTTTTCAATGGCATTGTATCTAATTCCCTGGGCAAAAGTTTCCGGCTTAGATAAGCCCCGGGTTGCTCGCCGCCATCTGCTCCGACTTGGCTCAGTACTGCTCCCAATCCAAACATAGAAGCGTCTGTATGGACGAGAAAGTGTTTAGTTGGATCAGGAGCAGAAAGTACAGGTGATTTAATGAGCTCCGTCTTGAGCTGTTGGAAGGCCTGTTCACACTCTGGGGCCCATCTGGTCCCCTATCTTGGGGAGGTTTTTACGCGTTCCTATATGGCACTTACTGGGCTTTAGGGTCAGTCCGGCCTCCCTAATCCGGTCTAGTACGGCTCCAATGTGGGTCAGGTGTTCGGGCCAGGAGCAGCTAAAAATGGCTATATCATCCAAGTAGGCGCAGGCATACTCCTGAAACCCATCCAGTAGCCGATCTACCATCCTCTGAAAGTTAGCCGGGGCATTCTTCATCCCGAATAGCATGACCTTAAACTGATACAGGCCAAACGAGGTGACAAATGCCGACTTGTGGATGGCGTCCTCGGCTAATGGAATTTGCCAGTACCCCTTGCACAGATCTATTGTGGTGAGGTACTGGCCTCTGGCCATTTTGTCTAGGAGCTCGTCTATCCGGGGCATCGTCTATCCCGTTTCGGTACTAGTACTACCGGGGAGGCCCAAGGGCTGTCAGAGTGTTCTATCACCCCTAACTGCATCATTTCCTCAATTTCTTTCCGCATATTTTCTTTAACTGCTTCGGGTATGCGATAGGCGGTTTGGCGAAGGGGGGGGGTCTGGTCTAGGGTTTCAACTTTGTGAGTGGTTAACGGACTGTACCCAGGTAGGATGGAAAACGTGGCCCCCTTGTCCTGGATTAGTCTTTGGACCTGGGTTTGCTCCTGGGGGTCTAACCGTTCTCCTAACTGTACTTCTCCCAGGTCTCCTCTCTGGCCCTCTAGGTCTAGGAGATCTGGGAGTGGCAAATTATCATAATCTTCAGTGGCAGGTGCACAGGTCGCGGTTTCCTCTTCCGTGCGCTTGTGGTATGGCTTGAGCATGTTCACATGGAGCATGCGCTTGCCTCCCGTGCCTGTGACCGCACCGATCACAAAGGTGGTATCACAAACCTGCTCTACAACCTTGTATGGGCCCTGCCAGGAAGCCTGCAGCGTGTCCTTGTGGACAGTGTCAATCCATATCTGCCAAGTGACCCTATGTAGGGGGAACAGTCCCTAGTCTGCTCTGTGTCAGTGTGTATCATGGTCTCTGAGGACAGGTGTCAATCCATATCTGCCAAGTGACCCTATGTAGGGGGAACAGTCTCTATTCTGCTCTGTGTCAGTGTGTATCAGGGGCTCTGAGGACAGGTGTCAATCCATATCTGCCAAGTGACCCTATGTAGGGGGAACAGTCTCTATTCTGCTCTGTGTCAGTGTGTATCATGGTCTCTGAGGACAGGTGTCAATCCATATCTGCCAAGTGACCCTATGTAGGGGGAACAGTCTCTATTCTGCTCTGTGTCAGTGTGTATCAGGGGCTCTGAGGACAGGTGTCAATCCATATGTCAAGGTGTCAATATGTCATATGTCAGGTGTCAATCCATATCCATTGTGATTTAGGAATGTTAGGTGATTTATGCCTTTTATGGATTAAGAGCAGACTCTGCATCAACTGTGTAATTTTCCATGGGAGTTTTGCCATGGATCCCCCTCCGGCATGCCATAGTCCAGGTGTTAGTCCCCTTGAAACAACTTTTCTATCACTATTGTTGCCAGAAAGAGTCCCTGTGTGTTTTAAAATTCGCCTGCCCATTGAAGTCTATGGCGGTTCGCCCGGTTCGCTTACATTTGCGGAAGTTCGGGTTCGCGACATCACTGCTTAGGACCATTGTTTATGTTTATTTTATATCTTTTTATACATATTAAAGCTGCAATTTTTCAACCTTTACCCGGAGTCCTGTATCTGAGTGGAAGTATCCAGGGGAATTTCCCAAGCCCCCCATATCATCAGGGGAGGCACCATTAAAGCTTGAATCATTCAAGATCCTGTGAGTGCATTTCAAATTGTGCAGTGTGAAAATTGTATTACACTATATTTTTTTGTATGTTTTTATTTAGATAATCAGCCGGTTCCCTCGTTGTGTATGTATATATATTCTTGTGGTCAAGTAGATTGCCAGCTGGGAGCGATCTGAGGGAGGCTGTATTCACCAATATTGCTAAGTATCCTTATATATAAAAGTATTATTGTATAAGGTACATGTCTTTGGTTTCTTTGGCCTGCCTGACCTCTCAGGCAGTCCCCCTCATGCCTGATCTATATATTGTGACCTTTATGGGCAAAGCAACACAGTCCTCTAGGGTAACAGGTATAGAACAACAGTCTCTTATGCAAAAATGGCATGGTTTATTTACATAAATCGTAGCTCAAATTCGAGCACTTACTAAACATAAAGTAATGTCCCTTACTAAACCAGGGTAATAAACTACACAAATCAACAAAATAAACATTGGTTTCACCAACCTTTAGCACTTTGTTTGGTGCTGCTCAGCACAGACCTGCTCTCTCTGCAGGTCAAATTGTATCTCTTCCTTTCTGCTCTGAGACCTGCTAATTAAAGCCTCAGCAGTTGATAATTGGGAAGGTGAATGAGTACAGGCTATGGAGGAGTCTGGGTCCTAAATACCTTCCTTCTATTACCCTCCCATAGACTCTGTCACATATCCTCCCCGCCAGCTTAGACCCATCGGTCATAGTGACCTTTGACCACAAACAATGGACTCTGGATAAACCATCTGCATTCCACTGGTCTTTACCAGCTCTATGCTCCATAGAGAAGTTATATGGCTGAAGACTAAGGAACCACCTAGTTACTCTGGCATTTGCTTCCTTGTTTTGTCTCATCCACGTCAAGGGCGCATGATCTGTGACAAGTTTGAACCTTCTCCCCAATAGATAATACTTAAGTGTTTCTAGTGCCCATCTTATGGCCAAACATTCTTTCTCAACCACCGAGTATCTCTGTTCATGGGGATTCAGCTTTTTGCTCAGGTACATAATGAGATGTCTTCTCCTCTGTGTACTTGAGAAAGAACCGCTCCTAGGCCCACATCAGACGCATCTGTCTGTACCAAATATTATTTCGTAAAATCTGGGGCAACCAAAATTGGGTCAGCACACAAAACCTCCTTCAGGGTACTAAATGCGTTCTCTACCTTGGGAGTCCACTTTATCATAACAGGGCCTTTTGCCTTAGTTAGCTCTGTCAACGGGTTTGCGGTCGTAGCAAAGTTAGGTATGAATCTACGGTAGTAGCTGTTATGCTACAACTTCTCTGATAGCAAACATTAGATATGGCAGCAACCAATCCCAATTCTTACCATCCTTATCAATTACCTTACGGAGCATTGCTTTTAAGGTTTTATTAAATCTTTCCACTAACCAATCAGTTTGTGGGTGATACACTGAAGTTTTCAATTGTCTAATCTTCAACAAGTTACATAGCTCTTTCATCACTCGTGACATAAAAGGAGTACCTTGGTCTGTAAGTACTTCTCTAGGTATTCCAACCCGGCTGAACATAAACATTAACTCTCTGGCAATGATTTTAGCTAAGCTATTTAAGTATAGCGGGTAGCATAATCTAGTACTACCAATATATATTGGTGCCCCCTAGCGGATTTAAGTAAAGGACCAAGCAGGTCCATAGCAATTCTTTCAAATGGGACTTCTATAATGGGAAGAGGAATGTGGGGATTACGGAAAGCCTGGAATGGAGCCTTTCTTTGGCACTCTGGGCATGACTTGCAAAATCGCTCTATAGCAGAGTAGATTGGCTCTATAGCAGAGTAGAGTGGCCAGTAAAATCTTCTTAGTACTCTCTCCCTGTTTTTTTCAATCCCAAGATGCCCCCCTAATACATGGCTGTGAGCTAGTTTTAAGACTAGGTTCCTGTGGGATTGAGGTACCAGTAATTGCTCAACCTCTTCAACCCCCCTCCTCTCTACTCGGTAAAGTAAATTATTTCTTTCTGCAAAATAGGGAAGGGACAATTTGGTTTCCGGGTTAACAGGAGTACCTTCCACTACCTGAACATTGTTACGGGCAGCTACCAAGGTTTGATCCTCCCATTGGGCAGCCCGAAAATTTCCTGAACTAATACCTAGATGATGGAACGCCACCTCTTCCCTTAGATTTTCTACTTGGGAGGAATCACTTTCATTGTGTTCCCCTTCCTCACCCAAACATACTACAGTGGGTTCATTTTCACTATACTGCTCAAAATCAATCATAGAAAAAGGAAAAACAAACATTCTCTAAACCAACTGTTTCTGCCTCTACCTCTGTACGCTTATCCTGTTTTATTGCAGTATCTTCCCAAATTTTACGAAAGAGGGGAAAATCACGCCCCAATACAGCATCATAAGGCCAATCAGTAATGGGCATCACATCCATATATAAAGCCCTGACAGACACATGACTTCCTCTTTCTTTGCTGCTCCAGCCAAGGCACAGGTCAGAGTATTTTGTGACCCCCGAGCGAGTCTGGCACCAGTCCTAAGTGGCATGCATATACAGGGGTGACCCCCTGCGCTGGGTGACCCCAAGAGAGTCTGGCACCAGTCCTAGTGGCATACATATACAGGGATGACACCCCTTACAGAAGGGGTGACCCCTGCACCCTGTGGTTTATACCCACAGAGTACGCTCTACCACTGTATGCACAGACCACAGGTCGCTATAAGGTTATGTATTATGGAACCTCCATGCTACATCTGGGGTGAGCCGCACACCTCCTTACCAATGTTGGAAGGAGGGCTCTCAGTGTTGCCAAACCATCACAGTACTATACCATATAAGGGTGACCCCCTTGGATTGCATACTGAGGCTTCTATGCCTCCCATACATGGGCTGTGTCCCGACTTTACTGACTGCTCAGCCCGCTCTTAAGGAGGGTGACCCCCTCCTCAGAATATAGTAGTGGTACTGATTGACTGACATCTGGGTGACCCCCAGTGTACGTAAGGCCCACTGGGTAGCAACAAGCGTACTACAGTAACTGACTACTATTCTGTCTTCCGCAGACCCAAGGAGTTTAACTCCAACATGTCACACTCCCCTCAATCAATTGTGTTGACTTTCAGTCAATGAGTAATGGCGCCATGACGGCTTCAGTGGAGTAAGCTCTTGCCAAGATGCTGACACAAAACCCACCTGACATGGCTGAAGTGGGAAGAGAAGGCCCCTCTTACGCGAAGTAGTCAGAGTGCCCAGACCATTCACACCACAGGCTCCTTTGCAGGGGGACGGAGACTCCATCTGTGAAGGATTTCCCAGTAACCGTTCGGTTATTTGCTCTCCCTGCTATTTAATTCCCTTGTTGATTCGTTTTATTTTGCAAGTTCGGTAAATCATTTGTTTTACCGAACAGAGACCACCCTGGGTACTAATTAGAATGTGGAACACTGTGTAACTATACGAAAACTGCAGACAAATTGAATGCTTCTAGGTGGCCGCCATTAAATGCATACAAACGCACGTGTTGAAAACAATGGACGGCGGCCATCTTGGCGCCCCGAACGCGGCCAGCGGGACTTGGTCGTCGAGTGCCTGGAACTGTTTTGGGCATGTCACTCGCACGAACACCCGGTCTCTATGGAAGTCCCATACGTACTACTTCCCCATACGGTAGACGAACGGTGTTCGGGAGTTTCAAACAGATGAACAAGAGGAGCATTCTACATGAATCATCTTTACTCTATCTATGGCGGTTTTCGTATATATCCACGTGCACGGAGACCGGCTCTTGCTGCCAATTCTATGGAACTCTTTGTCGGATACAACCTCGTGGCAGGCCGGTCAAACTTCCACACGGTGCCATTCAAAAAGTACCAAACGGATTTGCTTGAATTTTTAATATGTTACTTCCATCAAGCTCAGCTACCCAGGTTTTTGTGGGTTTTTATGTATCTGAAGTATATTTCTCAAAAATGTGAAATTGCTAACTTTTTCTGCCCAGCAGATAATTGAGTTTAGTATGTTTCCAGAACTCAATTATCTCGCTGGCTCAGAGGAGGAGTTTGATGCTGTATAAATTGAATGCCCTTGCTTCCATTAAACCAGTCTTGTTCCAGCATTAAGCTTTGGCTCATGTGTGGATTATTATGTGATACCAGCGATATTTTACCCTGTGGATTACTGGCGACATTGTTTTATGTGAATAAGGGAATGACAGACCTTTCTCTGGAGATCATGGACAAATGGAGGACAGAGGAGACTTCCTTAAAGGGGGAAGAATGGCAGGATGTCAAGAGGACATGGACTACACTCAAGGCAGAGAACGGGCAGGTCGTCCTGGCAGGAAAGGTTGGTGCGGAGCTGCTATAGACAGGTTGAGGACGGAGTTTTCCTTGATACACTGGGCACTCCCATGTTCGAACCACGCACCATACGTCACCTGAGGAGCTTCGAATGGGGTTTGCCAGATCTCCTGGCACAGTTTATCCACTTCTGGCTGAGGAAGGAAGTCCAGGCCAAACTCAGGACCAAATGCCTACACCCCTACTACCGGAAAAGATTGCCCTCACCCTTCGATACCACGGTGGTATACTTATGTCCCGATCAGGTCGGAACCCACAGAAGGGCATAGGAAACGGGCTTGAAGCAGTTCAAGACTAACTGCTGGATATGATTGGCCCCTGGCAGAAATACTCTATTTTGCAGACCTAGCCCTCACCCAAGGCACACCTTTTAAAAGCTCATGATGTGAGGGAATGGGTGCAACGGGCAAAATGCAAGTTGGGCAACACGAATATGGCCAGGTGCATGGACTGACGCAAGCATCCCTGTTAAAAATGGTTTCCAGGACAACTGGGTCCTCCAAACAATAAAGAGGTATGCGATAGAATTCACCAATACTCCGGTGCAGTTTGAACGGTCGCTCCCACTGCGGGCAACGAAATCTACATATCGCTCCGAGACAAGGAGATTTGAGCACTGTTCGCCAAATGAACCGTAGAGTTTTCTCCAGACGATCAGTGCTGTAACGGCACCCTGGGCATAAAAGGGATTAAAAGCCGTTTAGGATATATTCCCTTCCAGATATACAGGCAGCTACTGTAGACACCAATCCACCGAACCGGAGAAGCATACAAATGCTCTCAAACATATGAATGCTGTAAACAGCCGAATAGGAAAAACCATACGAAAGGTTTACACTCCTAGCAGTCGAACTGGAACAGCATACAATAAATCACCCCCCCCTCCCCAAGAACGAGACAAGGCTCCGTGTTGAGGGTCAAGCAGGAACAGACAGAGCGGATTTATTGTTCTTATATACACATTCTTAAACATTAGTACCACCCACAGGGTTTTGGAAAACAACCAATAAACATGTACAATACACTCAGACACTCCCACACAAAATCCTCCCCTCTGCCTGTGATACAATTACCTTACACAATGGGTAATGTAATTATCACAGGCAGAGAAATACAGTTTTTCCACATTATTCATAATTTTTAAATTATGCATCACATTCACATAAAACTTACATTTTCAGAATCAACATACTCCAAATACAAACATACATCAAAATCATACAAATTGGTCCAGTGGTTCAAAAGATAGATCATAGTCCTTTGTGACCAAAGGAAGCATGGCCTTTCTGCCCAAAACCAGTTCCACAGAGTCTTCTATCCTGGAGATAATTGGGAAGTAATCCAATTATCTCCAAGGACAGAGGCAAAACTCCATTGAACACATGGCAGCAAAAGACAATAAAATACATAAAAATATATAACTGTGCAGCCATTGCATAAAACAGGTACATTCAACATATCCCCAGATAGCTCAGATCTGAGCGCACATTATTACTGAATGGCGCTCAGATAACACACACATACAGTTCATTTGCAATGGAGCCAAAGTCTTTCCCATAGTCTTTCATTAAACGAATGGGCTCCATGGCATAGCTATCTGGTGTATCACCGCTCAAACAGGGCAAGCACCGAATGACCCGGCTTTCATGTCTTTGCAGGGGAAAATCAAGCATTTCAACATGGGGCCATAGTCTAAAGGCAGCAGATAGGCAACCAGGCTCCTCCAATGCACAGTGG